CATAATTCCCTGGGAATAAGAACTTAACGAAAGTTTCTCTCTTCTTTTTATCAAATCCTCTTTTTTTGGTGGATTCATTTGATACCTATGCATTTGATTGCATTTATTTTATTTTATTTTWATTTTATTTTACTTATAGCCAACTCTTAGGTTATCAATAGCTAGTGGGTTAAACTGAAAAGAGACTACAAAATGTATCGCTGAATAATAAGAGATCAAATAAGAGAGGCTAGGAATCTACTAAAGGTTTTCCCCAATTACAATAGATCCTATCAACTAAACGGCATCGAATAAATGAACTAAATGAACTAAATGAACTAAATGAACTAAAATGACCTAAATCGGTCCTTAGGAGTTAACCCGCTAATAATTCTCCAAGCTAAACTAAATGGATCCTTGCAACTAAAGCCGGGAAAGAGGGACAAATGGTCTATACAGAGTAAGACCTTTCAATTAACTTTTCTATTTGATCCTTAAAGTCAACTAAACGACTTAAATCAATCCTTAATCTATACGATCTATAAGATTATTTTAATAATAAATTAAATCGTCCTTTTAGCTAAACTGACAAACTACATGAAAGAATCATTAGCTGAACTAACACGATCCTAGAGACTAAAAAAGTTAAATAAGACAAGCTACATAGTTACAGACATGATCAGAAGAGAGTGTCTCTCATATTGGCATATTCAGAATCGATCATATACGTTTAGTTAAAAACAGCATTTCAAAGTTCCTTTCAGTGTTCTTGTTTGATGGCATTTGACACACACAGATTTCCACGTTCGCGGGTCTTCAGGATCGTAGAGGGACAGGAGAGCAGACTTGTAGTGAGAGAAGAGACAGGTTTTGAATTTAGACAGAGTGAGTGTTCTTTTTCTTAGTTCAGTAGGTAGGATGTTCCAGATTCGTGCAGACCGTATGAAATAGCTATTTTGGAAGGTCAGGGATCTGTGTGGAGGGATATCTAGGGTGATGATGTCTTCAGGTGCTGTGTTGCTACGGGTGTACTGTTTTATTCGGCGTTCTGTAGGTTTGATGCTGTTATTCAGCAAGGCATGGCCGTGGATGACTTTGAAGAGGAATACTATGTCCAGATATTCGTGCCAATATGTCAGAGGCAAAAGGCGTACGCGCTGAAGCCTTTCAACATAAGGAGTATCTGTCATGAAGGGTAGCATGAGGATATACTTCGTTGCTCTCCTTTGTACTCTTTCYATTTTTCTGATCAGTTTTCTGATTACATAAACTGAGTATCCAAGTGTATATATTTTGCAACCCCTTTTACTTTTGCTCCCCTGTTCCCCCGCAAAAGCTTTCGCTTTTGGGGGAAGGGTGGGGTTTTTCTCATGGCTGGCTTTCGCTCTTTTCCTTGTAGGTTTAGGTTTAGARTTTTAGTTATATTAGAATAAAGTGGAATCACATTGCCTCCTTTTTAGGTTTTACATATGCGCTCCTTTATTTATTTCATTTTTTTCCTGAACTGATATCCACTCTTTTGCATGTTTGATATATTTAAATTCTCCGGCCCCCAATAGTTGATAAATAATCAGTCCCTCATTGATTGGCATCCAGCACAATTCGATTAGTTTTCCTCAGTTATTCTATGGTTTTCCATTCCGAAACATGTCCTCTTAGTAAACATATATTGTGTCATTAGTCAGGCCCAGTTATTAGTTGCTCGTTGCAAGGGAAACAGTGGCTGTTCGAGAAATTCAGTAGGAGAGCAGTAGGAGTCCTTTCAACTTGCTTTGTTTTCTCCTCATTTTCAGTTTTCTGATTTTCTCTTTTCGTTTSTCTTTTCTTTTTTCTTATCCTTTCTTTTCCCCTCTTCCTGCTGTATCTTTCTTTCTTTTCACARATAATTCCATCTATGAGTGTAAAATCGTCTTCAACTCCCCCATTATCATCTTTGTTGGCATAGCTGTAGCTCTCCTCACGAGTCAGTTTTCCCAGTCCCACTTTCAGTAACCCAATACATTCTTCACTTGGGACAAATACGACTTCAGAATTTTCCTGAACGCTTGGTACGACATCATCAGTCATGGGACACAATAAATCTTGGGCATTTTTCATATGACTTGTTGGTAAACGTTTTTCAATCGCCTGATTTAAGAAACGTTTGGCTCTTTCTGTCTTATTAAGCACATTCCAACCCTTCCTCTTTTCTTTCTCACTGTTATCAATCTGTTCTTGGATTTGTTTAATCAATTCTCTTTCACTTTCTTGCACTTTCTCGATGATTTCCTTTGCTTTGGCCTGAATTTCTTTTATCGCCATTTCTCCTTTTTCTTTGGTGTTTACAGCAAAATATTCTAAAACTTTAACATCAGAAGACATCTGTTGTTCCTGAATGCTTAACTTTTTCAGTTGATCGTCTAGAGAGTCTTTGACTGTTGTGGCATGCTTCTCGTTTAGGATTGTTTTGTGGTCAGCATGATCAAGTTTTAAACATTCAAAGCATATCAAAATATCACAACTTTGGCAGAAAAAATCCAGTTTGCAATCACTATGATGATAACAATTATCTTCTTTGGCCAGCATGAACTCGARGTCTTCTTTTTTTAGGTTGGAAAGGGAAACAACTTTATGATTATCTTTTGTAAACAGCGAGTGGTTCATCTGGCATTCATCGCACAACGAGCGACTGCACTCAAAACAGTACCAGGAAGCTGTCGAATGACTATTAGAAATAGAGCAAACCTTGTCACTCTCTACGAATTCCAGAACCTTCAAGATTCTTGTATGCAGAGG